CCACAAGCAGAGTGCACAGCGCAGAAAACGCCACCAGATGGCACTGTTCTACAAGCAGAGCGCGCAGTGCAGGAAACGCCGCCAGATAGTACTGTTCCACAAGCAGAGTGCACAGTGCAGAAAACGCCACCAGATGGCACTGTTACTCCACGAAAGGGGACGCCGCCCACCTTTTCTCTGCTCTCTCCCTCCAACCACCCACGGATCCTTCCCCACTGCCTGTTACATGGAGCACACAGAATACACGCTTTAGCTGTATCTAACAGATTAACAGGGTAGCTGCTACCTGTGCCATTATCAGTTGCTACCCATGTCACCCATCAGTTGCAAGAGCCTTGCCTTATTTCCTTAGGAATCTGTGACCAACTGCATGGGTTGAAAAGGAGCCTGTCCAAGGTTCCCCACCCCAAGGGTTCTTCCAGCCTGTGAACTAGGCGAGCAAAGGCCCCATGCGACCCACCTGACCTTTGTCCTCCTAGTAAGTTTTCCCTTTCTCTATCCACCTTCCTAGGCCCTCCCACTCCTACAGCCAGAACCCCACACCTCTGCTCACCGAGGACTTTCTATTCTCCACCTCACTACAAAACCTTCCTATTGCCGGAATGTATTTTCATAGTTACAAAGGAGTTGCGACCCACAGGTTGAGAACCCCTGTTCTAGGCTATCATTGCTCAGGTTCCCAGCAAGGGATGGTTGAGAAAAATCCTGGTCAAGGGATGCAGCAGGACCACACTAGAATATAGGTTCGATGCCCCATAGCGTGGGATCCTCCCCGATGCTCCCCATGGTGTGTAATCCTCCCCGGTGCTCCCATGGCGTGGGATCCTTCCAAGTGCTCCCCATGGTGTGGGATCCTTCTCAATGCTCCCCATGGATGGTGTGGGATCCTTCCCAGTGTTCCCCATGGTGTGGAATCCTCCCTGATGCTCCCTGTGGTGTGGGATCCTCCCAGGTGCTCCCCATGGCGTGGGATCCTCCTGGGTGCTCCCCATGGCTTGAGATCTTCCTAGGTCCTCTCCATGGTGTGGGATCCTCCCTGGTGCTCCCACGGCTTGGACCCCCTCTATCTCCCTTTTTGGATGAGGTCCATAGGTCTTTTGAAAGTGTTGGCACTGTGTTCTCAGCTTGTAATGATGGAGCTGAGATCCAAGCCTGGGCTGTGGGCTCCCACCCTCAGCTACCATGAAACGTCCACTGGAAACATTTCCTGAATGTTGGGGCACAGCGGTAAGTGCCCACGAGGGGTCCTGACAGACGCATCTCAGTGACGATGGGGCACTTGTGGAAGAGAAGTCAAGCCTTGGCATGTTTCATTCATTCACTCACTTCTTCATTGCCTCAAGCACCACCAGAACACAGAACGGGTACTCACAGGCACATTAAGATCCACAGAGCTGGCTCTGACTACACCACCTCAGGCACCTCTGGGCCCTGTGTGTCCACTGTCTCAACCTCCTCAGCACCTAGTAAGAGGCAGCACTGTTTCTGATTCACACATAAGAGGAACAAATACTGGAGAAATCAGGAAACTTGCCCAAGATTCATAAACTGAACTAGAACCTACCCTTTGTGACTCTGAGCCCTGCAGACACAGGAACCAACATTCTTGAGTTCCCTAGGTGGACAGATTCTACTCCATCCAGACCACCTGCAGCTGTGAGCAGCCTGCTGTGGGTGTAGCTCAGGCAACATGCAAAAACAGGGCACAAAGCCCATTTCCAACCCAAAGTTTGAGTATGCCCTTTCTTTCTTTCCTTTCCTTTTCCTTTTTCTTGAGACGTAGTAGCCCAGCTCACAGCAACCTCAATCTACTGGGTTCAAGCAATCCTCCTGCCTCAGCCTCCTAAGTAGCTGGGACTACAGGCACCCACCATCACACTTGGCTGATTTTTGTATTTTTAGTAGAAACAGGATCTCACTCTAGTTCAGGCTGGTCTCAAACTCCTGAGCTCAAAGGATCCTCCTGCTTTGACCTCCCAGAGTGCTGGGATTAGAGGCATGAGCCCCGTGCCTGGACCCTGATGAATGCCTTGAAGGCAGCGTTGCTCAGCAGTAGTATGACTTCCCAAATGGGAGGGATCATTCAGAATCATTCTTTGCTGGGTGGAGGCTGTCCCATGCATTATAGGGGCCACCCACTAAATTCCAGAAGCTTACTCCTACTGTGACTGCCAACAATGTCTCCAGATGTTGTCCAATGAACCCTGCCACCAGCAAGGACCAGTGACCCAGAGAGACTGATAACCTAAAAAAGCCACTATCCCCAGCTCTCCTCTCCTCACATTTCTGCCCGACTCTGGGCTGCTGCCATAGCAAAGCAAGTCACTCTCTACATGACTTGAGATAAAACACAACCACACAGCATTATCAGATGAGGTAAAAGTATGCCCAAGGAGAAAGAAAGGGAATGATTATGATAAACTCAGGTTTAAAATAAGGACCACATCTCATAAAGGAAGGTAGAATCTTGAAGCAAAGCCCTATCCATTTGGAGTGGAAGGTGTTACAGTGTCCGGGAAGAGGAAGAACTCTGTACATGAATTTGTCTCACCCAGCTAGGCTGTAAAGTAGATTTAAAACAAACCAAGTACACACGTTGTGTTTCTTGCAATCCTGACACTGCTAAGCTACACCTCACCCAAATGGCTTCACAAGTCATTAGAGTTACACAGTGAACCATTATGCCCAGTTAACATTGGTCTGATTCATCAGCAAAACCTGCTAAATTGTCACTTGCTGGCCTGTAGAATTTCTGCTTATTTGGCAGAGAAAAGCAGACATTTAATACACTGGCAGCTGTGCGGTTGGTTTTGCACCTTCAGTGGAAACAAATACCAAGGGCACCAATGTGTGTCATGAAAGCCAGAGTTTTTATTAAGTACTTAACAGACGTATATGCAAGAATACTGACTGCTATCCAAAGCCAACAGGCATGGGGTGTTTGTTTTTAAATTGCCCACATCGAGGCTGGCAAATTGAGACCCGCAGGCTGAGTCTGGTCCACAGCCTGTTTATAAATAAAGTTTTATTGGGACACAGCCACACCCAAGAGTTGACAGATGCTCTATGCCTATTTTCCCACTACATTATGAGTTGAGCAGCTACACCAGAAACCGTATGGCTTATACTGTCTGCTTTTCTACAAGAAAAGTAGGCTGATCTGATTTTACATATAGGCAGCCCTCTGAACCTTCAGGTTCTCCAGGCTCAGACTCAAGCAATCTCAGGTCAAACC